TGGATTTAGTGTTTAGAAATATGCCGATATTTTATTTTATTTACGCTATTCGCCAACAAGATTAATTCACACCGTTTTTGTTTTGTACACAAATACATTTTAATATATATATATATATACGATAGTATAATTTACAATAGCAACTATTATGATTAATTATTACAAACAAAGTTCGGAGTCTCCTTGATATCCAGCGAGTTGTACGTATATATAATTGGCGGGAAGCTATCTAGCTAGCTTTTTCAGACACTGAATTGCTGGCCCGTTGAAGTAAGATAATATTTTCACAAAATCACTAATGTCCGATGAGAAATTAGTAATACTCTAGGAGAGATATTAACGTTTGATTGGAATTCACTAACGTTCGAAATTTATAACTGTTCCTGGTTTAATGTTGTATATTTTCCGGTTGATAGGGGTTAGCAGAATCACAGTTTATAGCTCACACGGTTATAACAGTTTCATAGTAGACCTGTCTCTTCTCTGTTATCTGTTGCTTTTATAGGCGAATCACATTTTCTAGAAACTTCTGATATATCGGTTACGGAAGTTGATTCTTTGTGTTCATGAATGGTCTATAATCTTTGAGAATTGGTGGGAGTTTCGCCATACGTAACTAACACGGTAAGCTATACATGCTCTCAAATATAAACTTATTTGAAACAAACGTTGGCATTAAAAATATATCAAATTCGTTATACGCAACACATATCTGATAATACAAGTGACGCCTAAGTCACAAATTCAATCCAAACAACGTTCATATTAAAAATAAATACGTAATAATAACTTCGTTACAGTTAATAAATACGAAGTCATGCCGACACGGTCACAAATTTTGGAGAGTGTCATTAATATTTCTTGGACAGTTTTTGAACATACTTGACATCGGATTAGTTGGATTCAAATCGGGTCCTTTGGCTGGACAGGATAGAGTCTACACTTTATTTGTTTCAGATTACTACAATACATGACAAATTGCATTATCGTATTGAAAGAAATATTGTATTTCTCCATAGTGGAATTACAGCACTGCTTAGAATGTCACAATACAACAAAACATTGGTGGCTTCTTTAACTGTTATTAGTGGATCAACTGCAGAACAGGTTACGTCGAACCCAAGCATGTTCACCTGAAACAAACAGTAGCACCAGAACTTAGCACTTCATATGATAGTTTCCATTCTCCTATACCAGTGTTTCCCAAAGTGGGAGCCGCGAGCCCCCTGGGGGCCATGAAGCTTTTTCTAAGGGTCCATCAAAATATGGGCCGAAAACAAAGATGATGAATACATTTTAATTCTAAATATTCAATAAGTCAATAAAAAATTATGTTGAATTAATCAAATTATACTGTATGTCGAAAGGTAATGTTATTGTTTTTACTACAGCACTGTTTTTCAATCACCATGCTGAAGTAGTGGGGGGGAACATTTTAAGACATTTTTATAAGTTGGGGAGCCTCAGACTTTTTTCATTCACATCAAAGGAGCCTCAGACTAAAAGAGTTTGAGAACCACTGTTCTATACCCCCAATTTCGACACTCAAAGCAACATGAGAGTCGCCATCTTGCTCTCAATGTTGTAATGAGCGGGTTATGGGCTGTAGGATTCCCGTGAAATCTAGCAACATTGAAGTCCCTTTCAATGGCGAATGTGACAATTAGACAACTGATTTAATGCCACAGTGTGCTTTTATGCTACAAGATGCTTCAGTGTTTTTATGGTCAAAATGAGTGATGTCAGAGCTCGGCCTGTGTCAGTGATGAATGATGTATAGCTAAGACTGTGTCGATAATGAGTGATGTCTAAATAGCTCTGTATCGATAATGAGTGATGTCTAGCTCGGCCTGTGTCAATAATTAGTTATGTCTAATTAGCTCTGTGTCGATAATGAGTGATGTTTAGCTAGGTCTGTGCAGATAATGAGTGATGCCTATTTTGTTTTATCGGAAGCTAGACATCGCCCATTATTGACACAGGCCGAACTAGACATCACACATTATTGGCACAGACCGAGCTAGACATCACTCATTATCGACACAGACTTAGCTAGACATCATTCATTATTGGCAAAGTCCGAGCTAGATATCACTCGTAATTACCACAGATCGAGCTAGACATCTTTCGTCATTACCAGAGGCCGCACTAGACATCACTTGCCATCGACTCTTTTCAATAACCTCATAAGCAAACTGTATTTTTCAAACTGTTTGCCTGAAGTAAGCGGCATTTTTCAGCAACTGTGAATACCAAACGTTAAACCTAACAGGAATTTTAACAGATTGATCATGCTTTCGATCGTAGTGAATGAGTATATTAATTTTCTCAAACTATGAACTATTTAAAATTTACTTTAAACGGTTTATTTTTCATCAATTTTTGATCTAGTCGTTATCCTCTTTCTGAACCAGTTTATCAACTTCCCTAAATGAACATATATTATCAGAACACTAGATTACGTATTGATATAATTCAAGCAATGCCATTTTAATTTATATATGCCTTCATTCGTTATAGACTAAAGATGGTTACTGTTAACTCAATTTTGTTTTATTTCATAGATATCATCTTAATTGAAATACACTACAAACAATTTTAGAGTATTCCTATAAGAATATATTTCACTGAAGTACCGAGAACTTAAACACTTATATTCGAGATATGTAACACAGTAGCGTTCATTTAATGTCAGTTTTGTGTGTTTAGACAAATCAAATGTTGATCTTCACAATAATTATACTGAAAATAACAGTTGCAACGGAACAGCTTGTACAAAAACTTTGTGAACTACAGTCTTGTTCAAAATGTTTGCATATTTTGCAACAAATGAGATCATTATTATTAAGGTCGAATACAAACACACTTAGCGCTGTAGCTGAGAAATGCGTGTTATATTAAACATCTACATGTGTGATTTGCATAATGAGACAAGTTATATGGACATCATGAACGATTTCTTGAACAGCAAACAATTTGATCAAACACCTGTAAAAAGATGTGTATAATGAAAAAATATAACATGATATTATTATAAATAGCTTCTGTAATCTTATATCAGTTCATATTAGCATTCAGTACTTGATTGGTTCTCCTCGTATTGTAATAACCTCAGCAAAGCGACGTGGCATACTGTCGATGAGGTTATTGATGTAATCCACCGTGATTTCATCTCAACTTGTCACTAGAAGGTGCTGCAACTCGGCTACAGTAGCTGGTTTAGGGTCGTGGTTAGCAATTTTCCAGTTCATTTCTGCCCAACAGTTCTGAATGGGATTACAATCTGGAGACTTTGTTGCCCATGGCAATTTTGTAAAGTCCTACTGCTCGAAATAATCCTGTACAATACGCGCACTGTGGTTGGTGGCATCTGGACACAAAGTTATTGCCAAACCTTGCCCTAACATATGGCAGAAATATCGTCTCCATGTGATGCCTGTAGAGACTTTACTGAAGTTTCCCTGAAGGATATGAAGAGCAGTTTTTCCACCATGATGAACAGCCGCCCAAACATCTACTGCACCACCTCTTGTGTTTTCCCTGTGAGAAATACAGTCTTCCCTCATCTGTTGTCCAGGCAAACGACGAACATGAATCCTACCATCAACTATAACAAGCTGGTAACATGACTCATCTGAAAAGATGACATGTCTCTAGTGTCCTAACTGTAAGTTGGTACGCTGTCCTTCCCAAGTAACATGGTGACAACGATGAATTCTGGTTAATATCTGTACACGGGGGGTATCCTACTAATCTGGCAATGTCTGTTTGCTTCATTCCATTTCTGGACAGTATAACGGTTTGACGCCCTATAACTTCTAGCACGTAACTAGGCAGACTCTACACCAAGTACAGAGAAATTGTCTGAACAAAGCGTTGACCTGTTTCGAAATAGATTATGCCAGAAGCACACTCTTTTATATAAAACGGGTGTGTGTGTGTGTGTGTATTTTGATGAACAAGTTCTCAAAACAACTTATATAGACCAGAATAACAACTCGTGCATGTTTGTCCGATCATAAGTTACCTTCTCTGTTACTACTTAGTTATTTTACTAAATAACTACTCCATGCATGTAGACAACAACATCAATATAGAACAACATGCAAATATTTTGGCCTGTCTAATAAATAGAGGGGGTGGCTATAGGTGACCCCCTCTTTTATAACAACAAAGGGTACTAGGTGAACACGTCTTTAATAAAAATAGACGATATGAGATTAGTTCCTCATTAATAACACAGGCCCGGAAATTCACAACTCATAAAAGTCGTTTTGGGTTTAATAACGGATTATCCATAATTCAGCTAAGCAGATTTTGAAAATATCCATTTTTTCTTGTATCACATAAGGATTTTTTTTTTAACAACTCGGGAAGAAGAAAAACTTACTTAGATGAAATTATTATTTCGTTTAACACAATGAAATTTTTTATTATTATATTTGTTAACAAACCTACAAACAAACTGAAGAAAAGGGAAGAACATTGATGTCAAACGAATATGCATCCTCATTCATCATGATTTTTTTGTGAAATCTACGTCATTTAGTCTCAAAACTACGTATTCTGGTCTTTTTTTATGTATTGCGTTATGACGTTTTGTAAAAAATCTGTACATGATGGAGAAACATAGATATCATTTTCGGATTCAGTGTACCGGAATTGTTGTAGAACATGTAAAAATCTCCAGACAATAAATCATCGCAGGCCTGTGTAATTAGTGAGGTATGAGGTGAATTTTAATAACTAGTGAGGGTATGCGATGAGTTCCTCTTTAATGACTAGAGAGGGTATGGGGTGAGCACCTTTTTAATAACTAGTGAGGGTAACGGGGATGAAAATCTGAACTTAAAGCTGTGACACATGTTTATGTATTGGTAGTTGTTGTTCAAGATTTATCAAAAATCAGTGTAAAATATCTTATCTGGTAATTAAGCTAACCAGTAACATGAAACTTACAAAAATATATAAATTAATATCTAAATTTTACATGTCAGAAAAACTTACAAAAACATACGTGGTATAAAAAATTAATCCTGAAACTTTTGAATGTTTCACCAGAAATATGAATGCGAGTGACAAGAAGTTAAAATGTAAGTTAACGAACTAAAGAACTAAAGATTTAATTGCACGTAGATAGAAGGAATTCTTTTTCACAACTTCTAGAAAGTAGAAGCACGTTCACTGTCATGTTATCTGAAGAATAAAAGACAACGGCTATAAGTCTCCGGTGATAAACAAGCTGTTCAAACTTGTAAGAGTGAGATCCCAAAGCTTATGTAGGTCCAGTTTCTTCTCGATATTGACTGACCATTGGTTGTATGGTTTACCTGACTTTTCCATTACTCACACGTCCAATATCGATTCGGTTGGGTAATTTTAGACAAGAAACATAGCTACTGATATTTTTGTTCCCAGGTGTTCTGTTTTTCTGAAATTTTGCTCAACGAGTAACAACGTTCGATTAGAATCTCAGAACTCAAAAACAGTTTGTGTTTAAACAATTGAGAAAGAACTAAAACTGTTACAAGTGTATGTCAAATCGTCAATCCACTTCAAAAACAAGCACTATGATTACGTACAGGAGACATTTTCTTGACTATAACTTAACTTTTATGTTGGTAGAGTATGACGAAAACGATTAATTGGGTATTGTAAGAAAATAGAACAACCGTGAACTCCAGAGAATCTTACAAATTGTTTTAATTACTAAACGTTTCGGCTTTACGCCTTCATTATATACAAATTGTGTGCTCCTGATGAAGGCGTAAAACCGAAACGTTGAAGAAATGAAATAACGTGTAAGATTCTCTGGAGTTCACGGTCGTTATATTTATTTTTCATTATGTATAATATATTCTAGTCAGTATTTCCTAAATTAAAAAATGCAAAAACATTTCATGACATCGACTAGTTGGGTATTTAATATTTTTAAACAGAAAAAGAATTGAAAGAGCAATAGATAGGAGTGAAATATATTTATATTATACCTATAAAGCCAAATGTTAAAAGTACAAGTATTGTACTCTGAACTTAAGTAACACAGTGGATATTGTTTTCCTCGAATCAAGAACCTAACCGGTAATTAAGGCGACAATACAATTTAGTTGAGGAAACTCGTAGTTATAAACACATACACCGTTTGCGAGAGTAACTTGTTACGTTAGTGGGGAATAACGGTTGATGTTTCTTTCAAGAGATGATTTGTTGCTTGTTTGTTTGGTTGTTAACCACAAAGCTACACAATGGGCTATCTGTGTTGTTCTCACCAAGGGTATCGAAACCTAGTTTTTAGCGTTATAAACTTTCAGACTTACCTCTAAGCTTCTAGGACGGTACCCTATATTTAAGTATTATAACGCCCTCTGCGGTGAATAATATCAAGCAATATTTACAATCAAATTTCCAAAGAGAATCGCAAAAGGTACTTTTACTTATTAAATATATAAATGAGTATTGAAGAAAACCTGTCAAGAAATTATGAAAGCTACAACAATTAACTACTGTAGGATACTCAGACAAATAAAAATGTCGGACGTTAAGTGAGGTGACATATCCCATGATACATATCTGTGAGATTATCTGTCAAGTTTTAATATCGAATTAAAAGAAGAACGTCTGTCATTGACACCAATTAGTTCTCAAGAATCGTTTTACATTCATTACGTGATAATGTCAACGATTTGATATAAATATTAATTATTTTTATATTCTTTTTTAATGATTTTTAGTGGAGAGAAAGTCTACACGAGCCCTGGTGGAGAGTCTTGAAAAAGAAGCTGCAGACTTTGAAAAACTTTGTTCGTTCCAACTTCGACAGAAGAGCAACAGTTAAAAGTTTAATCTGAAAAACATTTTGTGTTCATTAATATCGTTCCAACTTTCAGCAGATGCACCTTTGTATTCAGTAATTTTGTTTTAAAGTTTTAGCTGAAAAACATTTTGTGTTCAGTATTGTTGTTTCAATTTTCAGCAGATGCACATTTGTATTCAGTAATTTTGTTTTAAAGTTTGAGCTGAAAAACATTTTGTGTTCAATAATATCGTTCCAACTTTCAGGAGATGCACATTTGTATTCAGTAATTTTGTTTTAAAGTTTTAACTGACACATTTTTGTATTCAGTAACTTGGTTTATTGCTGTAGCAATTAAACGAAACATGGTCTGTCAACACTTGTGTACAAAGTGATTTGGCAGTTAAAAATTTTAATTGAAACATGTTCTATTTTAGGTAACTATATCTTTTTATTCTTCTACTTAGCTGACGCACCGAAATGAGATTAGTTTATATTCAGTACCGCTTTTATGGACTAAAAAATCAACGATTACGCCAAATTTAAAACTCGATAAAAATTATGTTTTACTCTAGATATTGTTTTATTACATTCTTCTAAATGTTTTGTTATGGATTTCAAATCAGAAGTGCATAAACAATATTTGCAGTCAGACGTGAAGCCCTTCTGATAGGCCTAGTAAAACTTTTATGCTTCTCCAGCTTAAGTGCTTTACACCATATCATTAATAGGAAGCGTGTTTATTTTAATCCAGCAAGAACATTTCATGTACATTGTTAATTATAACAAAAACTTATTATTGATCAGTAGAGTTTCGAGAACAAGAGAATCACAGTGAAGGACATGCGCAGAGCGATAAATCTTACATGTACGTTGATCTTGCTGTTTTTCTATAATTATGAGCTGTTGAAGATCTAGCAGTCTACCCATTGTTACGTTTTAAAACCAACAACAAGATGACTGTCGGTTGAAGAAATAAAGATCAACGGAGGTGTGAGATGTTACACCTTTAACTGTGATTTGTCCACCCAACAGTTTAAACCTGTGCAGAACAGTAACTGCTTTAATTATTAACAACGTAGAACAGTGAAAAGTTACAGCTGTTCAACAGTTACTTTAGTTGCTGTGTTTAAATCAGTAACAAAACTTACTTAACCGATTACTGAGTACTTTTTTCTGATTTACTTAAAGATCAATTTGTTAAAACATATAACTGGGGAATGTTCCTTTTCAGGAAATTAGCAAGTGTACTTCAGAAACAAATGTTAAAATGTTTAGACAGAAATTTTGTGTTAATTTGACTGCTGTGTGTAGATTGGCACTTTGGTTACTTGTGTTACTACATGAAAAACAAAACTTTTTATATACTGTTAATGTTCTTCAATAGTTCTATTTATTTACCGAGTACAAAAATAATTAAACTTTGTATTCTCATAGAACTTCTACTTCATGTATTATGATCTTAGAGTCTTGTCGAACTTTTCTTAGTCTCTAACTCGGTGAAGTGATTTATAAACTTAATGTGATGTTTATATAAGTACTGTTTTTTTTCCTTTACATTTGAAACGCTGTACAATTAACTTATTGTTAGTCATTTCTTATTTTTAATCTTACAATTGAGAATTAAAACTAAGCATTGCCATCACTTGCTACGTTTATGAGCTAGGTATATTATTGAGTTTTTAAAACTCTTAAGTGAAAATAATACTTTAATATTAATCGTTCTGTTTTACGTGAAATGCCTAGGCCAGGACACGGTGGTCCAACATATTGCATGAATTGGGTGAGACTATAAAACATGGGTTCTCAACCAATTGGGTGCGACATCAAACTTACTGAATGGTGAGCGGCAGCGTTCAGATAAGATGGTAATTAAGTGTATTATTTTTTATGTTTACTTGTAAATTTTATAAAATCTGAAATAGATACAGTCCTACAATCTTAAAGGATGTGTGCCTGTATAATGTGTTCATCATTTATGTCACTTGATTAGGTTTCAAAGCCTGATTAGTACGTTTAATGAGAAGTGAGAGTAGACTGTAATTGTTCATGTCATCTTATAATACATTCATTAATAACATGATTTTGTTGCTGATCCCCTTTGCTCTGCCAAGTGGTTCATTCAACCAGAGTTAAGACACGGTGGATCATTTATACTTTTCTTTAAATACAGCAATGAAAATACCAATTACTGACACAACCACTCAAAAAAAAATAAACAATGACGTAGTAAAATACCCAACATAACTGTTTGTCATTTCCACCTGAGAGATACCAGTTGCTATTTAGAGGTTACTGCAAGTGGGGGGTGCAAATAAATCTTATCCCTGTGCCCCGGTCATTAGCTGTATCTTATTTTTTCGAGACCCACATGGAAGCAATTTTTTTGCTCAGATCTTAGTTATTGATACTTGGACAGTATGTGGCAAAAAACTTAAACCACTTCAGAGCCAAATACTATTAACAAGTGCGGAACTGATTAAGATATTTGAGTTCTGTGCTTTGCTTACCAAGACAGACTTTGTCTTACAAGAATGGTGGTTTTGTATTTATAACTGTTTATGTAATTTATAAATTGTAGACCTAAATTTAATATGTAATTTGGTTTTTATCTACTTTTCACCAAGTTTACCTTAAGAAACCTACCTTACATTATCTATTTACATTCATTGACAATTATGATTCAGTATCAGCATATCAATTGCTAAGGTTCTGAAAAGTTATTGAATGTTTGAACTTAATTATTAGAATGAGCCAAATGTTTTTGTGAGACGAAGAAAGAGAAACGCTTGAAGCGAGTAAAATGTTTATATGTGCTTTTCTCTGTTATTAAACTTTTATTTTATTTCGCTATATCAAGGTGTGCAAGAAACTAATCAATTATCATATCTTTTCTTAAAAAACGACTTCATTTAAAACCTTACAGTTTGGGAAGTTGAAATACAACTTATTTATATTTATAACGTTTTTCTTTTATTATTTCTCTCGCTACACTTTGAAATATCAGACCTACGTATATTAAAAGTATTGAAAAGTATATTACACTCTTAAACTATGTTTTTGTACACGTTTTTTTTCTTATTTTACATATCAGTGAATATTTCCGAAATGACTACATTTATCATATACCAACACGTCTTAAATATAGCAACAGGAATTGTTTAAATACTGCTCTGACGGAATGACTTTTGATACTTTAATTAACAAAATAAACCACGCCATTACCACTCCATAAAAAACAAAACTGTAAATTGTGTTTTTCTTTTTTGAAAAAAACTTACAATGAATGATAGATATAAATTAGCAGATGAACACCCAATTTCAACAGAACTCGTAGCTTTAAAATATAACAATCAACACCAATACCTCCAAAACAATAACATCTTTTTTATTTCTATTTTTTTTGTGTTTTACAAATATAATGCTCAGAAACCTTTCTGTTCTATGTACTTATTATTTTCTTCTTCTTTTTTTGTTATGTTCTCATCGGAATACACTGGTAATTAATCTTGCTATTAATTGGCGTTTTCAGCAAGAACATTGGAATACCTTTGCCATTACAAGTGAGTTATTAACGACCTTGTAATTAAACACTTTTTTGTGTACAAATAAGCTTTACGTCTTTTATTTTTCATTAAACGTGCCAATGTTGCGTTCGAATTTCGTTACTTCTTGTCGATAAAGAAAAACAAAGAAGTAAGGAAATAAATTAAAGACTTGTGTTAAATTCTGTTAGTAATCTAATACATTATGGACAAGAGAATTAAAACTAAATTACTTCTCAAGATTTCCTAAGCGGAAAATGTCCATTGTGTAATTCGCTGAGAAAAAAAAGCATTGTGACAAACGTTTTAGCGCTACTTAACAATATAATACAAAAATTAATTTAATGTTGGGCCATTATGGAGAACAATTTTCTAGATCCAAATCATTCGAATGTTCACGAATAGGAACATATAAATCACTTCTGGTTCCTAATTTGTATGTAGTCTATAAATTCCAGACAAACGTCTGCCATAAGTGTAACCGTAACTGACACTTCTTCCACAAACTGGTTGACATTTGCAGGACTAAGAATAATTTTTAATACTTGTACAAGGAGTTAATCATACTTTACAATAATAACTTGTACATGCTTATGCAGTAGCTTGTCGCCGTATATATAATCCGTGGCGCTATAGTAACACGTTTAGTACCTGCGATTCGACATTGCAATGCCACTACAGTATGACTTATGACTGAAGGTTTGTACCACAGTCTTTCCGAGGAAGGATATACGATATAGAGCTAAAGGATAAGACATTAAGAAGAAAAGACTCTTGAATATTTGTCATTGAAACGGAAATATTGCACAATGAAACGTTTAGAACAACAACGGGCTCTGAAAGAACATGTCAAGCTAATCCAGGAAAACCTCCTTATATTTAAAATGAAGAGTATTGTTACGAACAAACATTTCCCATCTATTCTAGGACAACCTCCTCATCTTTAAAATGAAGGGTATACTATACCCAAAAAGTCGTTATCTGTTGGTATTGTTAACAAGATAATAAACAAAAGTCTAAAGATGACAGAAGCTCAAAAACCAAAATTTCACACGCTTTCAGCCTCATCCCGAAATCAGTGTATGTTTTCACGAAAAAATGTCCAAATAAATTGAAATCATATCAATTGTATTACTTGATTTTCAAATCCTCAAATTGGATTTTGTGCGTTTAATCTGCTTACACTTGTTCTTCGAAGCAGGAGTTGTATAAAATATATTAAGAGGAGGTGTCCAAGACTCACTTCGTTGTCCTTTACAGAAGCAAGTTACAAAGGGAATTATTGTATCAGACCATAAGTACATAATCGTGATCAATTGAGGAGGTTGTTCCAAGGGTAGCACGAGACCTTAGAAAGTGCAATTAAACATCAGTAATCATCATTGTTGTTTAAAGTCATTATATGTCTTGTCTGCACATAACAATTAAGTAAACGTGCAACTTGACTAATTTTTTAAGTGGCAAGTTCCATACCGAATTCTACCCTTGGTGAAAATTCGATAGATCCAGTAAAAATCTACAAGTAAAAGTGAACTCTGAGTCCATAATGGGCTTTCTTTTTGTAGCTCTTGTAATGTACTTAAAATGTTTATCTTAAAACTTTTGTAGGTTATTTTAAAGAGACTGCACACCTCTATCATTTCTCTCTTGAAAACACGTAAAAATTTGCTGAAAATTAGAAAAATTTCTGCAAGGATTTTCATTAGCGTTTATTATCCAAGAAAATTGTTGTTAGACAAGGTAAGTGAACTGGGAGTGAGGAGGAGTAGCAGTCGAATCGAGAAACGCAGCAGTCCATTTTACAGTAGAAATGTGATCAAGATTTCTACTGTCCGAATTTGGTACATTAAATGCATTAAATTTAATAATAATTTTCAATTTCAATGAATAAGAATGTAGAAGGGTAATTGGAGCTTTTAACTTGAATGAAGCGGAGGCACCTGGAATTCAAGATACCAGTTCCAAATTTTGAGCAATTAACTAAGAGGAAGGCCAGTCAGTTGCAGCATCCAGCGCTGAAATGGCCTTTTCCAGCTTTGTACTGAATAACGGGATTGACTGTCACTTTTATAACGTGACCTTAGCTGAAAGTGCGAGCTTGTTCAGTGTCATAGACGACAAAAGTCTTGAACCCTTCGATCTACAGCTTGGCTAAGGAGGAAGAGAAAAAAGTTTGTTTGTTGTTGAACACAAAGCTACTCAATGGAATATCTGTGCTCTGCCCACCACAGGTATCGAAACCTGCTTTCTAGCAGTGTAAGTCCGCAGGCATACCACTCTGCCACTGAGGGGGGGGGGGGCAGGGCTAGAGGAAAAGCTAAGGTAGTCTAACACATCAACAAGAATATATAAATAAATAAAACAAAAACTGTTGGCTCATAATTATAGGACACATTGAAAATATTTTGCTTTTGATTAGTTTAAGTTTGCCTACTGTTACGTATTGAGAATTTGAAGTAATCTAAAGCCATGTTAAAATTTAGCTTTTCATAGTTGAACTGTACCCTGAATTTAGTGTTTAGAAATATGCCGATCTTTTATTTAATTTATGCTACTTGCCAACAAAATTTATTAACACCATTTTTGTTTTGACACAAATACGTTTTAATATATATATATATACAACAGTATAATTTACAATGGCAACTATTATGATTAGTTATTACAAACAAAGTTTCATAAACAGAAATTTCACTAACTTACAAATAGCTTAAAATCTTCTTCCTAGTTCAAAGGCTCATTGATATTCAGCGAGTTAACTTGAAGTTGATGTACGTACAATTATCGGGAAGCTAGCTAGCTTTGTCAGGCACTGAATTGTCGGACTGTCGAAGTAAGATAATATTTTCGTAAAACCACTAATGTCTGATGAGAAACCAGCAATGTTTTTGAAGAGATACTAACGTTTGATGATAATTCACCGACGTTCAAAATTTCTAGCTGTTCCTGGCCTGATGTCGTATATTTTCCGGTTGGTAAGGGTTAGCAAAATCACGGCTTATCGCGTACACGCGGTTATAACAGTTTTCTAGCAGACTGGTATATTAGCTCTCTTCTCTGTTTTTTGGCGCGTTGCCCTGTTGTTTTTACAGACGGGACACATTTTCTCGAAACTTCGGAAATGTATTTAACCAGTTACGGAAGTGGATATGTTGTTGATTCTTGTGTTCACGAATATTCTACTATC